CCCCGGTGTCGGTGGGGGCAGGGGGTCGCGCGCCCCGCTGCCTCCCCGCGGGGACCCGGCACCGCCGGGCTCCGCAGCTCTCAGGGCACAGAGGCAGTTCGTTTCGTTTCCCGGTTTGAATTTGGCGCCTGGCGGCCCGTTGGCATCACGTGCGAGGGCGGGACCAATGGAGATGAGGCCTGGGGCCAGAGCGTTCCATCCGGCAACGGAAGTGGCCAATGAGCGCCCGCGGCCCGGCGGTGCTCGCACACGCCTGACCCCTGGCAGGAGCTGGGATCAGACCCGAGGGGGACACGAGGCCGGTTCAACCCCCCCACCCCCCACCCTGCGCGGAGCAGCGTCCGCGGGGGCGGGGGCGCGGCCGTAGGAGGCGGCGGCGGCGTTTGTCTCGGGGCTCTGCCCCCGCTCTCAAACGGTGGCCCCTGAGCGCCTTTGCCGCTGCCCTCCCCGCCGCACCTGCTCTGTGCTCCTGGGCCTGCCGCCCGCCCCGCCGCTGCAGCTTGGAGCAACCGGCCAGCCAGTGATGGCAGAGTAGCCGCCGTGTGCGAGAGACAGCCAGCCCCGGAGCAGGCGGGCGGGCGGCGTGTGCGTTCAGCTGCCGGGCTGTGCCCGAGAGAAAAGTGCCCAGGAGTTACTGGATGCCTGGGGTAGGGCATAGCGAGAGCACCGCGTATGTGTGTGTACACGCCTGTAGATAAGTAGAGCAGCGGACCCCAAACTTAGCAGGGTCGTTACCTCCTCCTCCCCTGTCTGCACCCTCCAGCTGGTGCGGCTGTGTGGACTAGGTAACCGGAAAGGGCCACGGCTAGGGATGGTGGAGCAGCATTATGTCAGTTCCACCTTGCTGATGTCGTTTAGTGAGGATCTTCCCAGGAGCAAGACAAGACTGGATATACTCAATAGGGAGGACACCCCAAAAACCCAAGACCATGGGGAGAGGCACCCACTACAGACTATATCTTGTGTAACACCAAGAAAGCTCTGATTGTGTCCCTAATGGGAGTATGGCTGAGTGGATGTATATAAAAATGTATATTTCCATTTTTTATTAGATTTTTTTGGAGACAGATCAGAAGTGTGTTCTATGTAGGAAAAAACAGTTGCTAGGTTTGTTTGACGACTTTACATCCCTCTGTTGCTTTCTGCAGATTTGGGTACAGTTTGTCATCTCTTTCCTCTTCTCCCTAACTGGCTCCACCAGGCATCATGAGGTTTCTTAGCGACTTTCTTACCCTTTTTGATGCCTCCAAAGAAGAAATGCATCCACCAGGCTCACAAGACACAACTGCGATTCCTTGAAACCCCAATAGAGGGGCCTACACATCACTATGGATCTCCATTGCCTTTGGCTGAGAACCCAAGACGTGTTTCTACCAAACCTCTTGACCAAAATGCTTCCATCTCATGGGTAGGTGCACGTTTGTTTTCCTTAGTTTCTTATAGTAAGTGTTCTCAGCCTTCTTATGCATATCTTAATAAAGAATTGTTTGGAGTGGATCTTGGACATGGATTACACACACACTCCCCCCCCCCCTGGTTACAGTGTTACAGTTGCTTCAGATCCCAATCTTGCAGTCACAAGCAGCCTGAGATGTATTTTAAATTAGCACACTCACATCTAAATGGGAAATGGTGGCCACTGGCAGAGTTCCCTGTCTTGGGAACTAGCATGGTGGCATGAAAAGGTTGGGATCCATATGAGATGGGGATTCTTTTTGGCTTTTATGATAACTGAAAACCTTGGAAATGGATAGTAGAATAGTTACTGTTTAGTTACTCTTTATTGGATTTGATATTTAAACTACAGCAATTATTTCAAACTGTTTGGTATAACTCTCAACTCTCCAGCACTTAAATGTGACAACTTCCTGCTCAACTATGATACAGAAATAGTCTGCATCTTAATTGTGGTTCTCTTATTTAATATTCATGTTTTAATAATCTCAATTTTGTAAGTTTGCCTATCTATGGTCACCCCCCAATGGAGTTAAATGTGGGTTAAAATGGATGTTATATCTTGTAATGTATATAGTTAAAAGGTGGAATACTTGATGTAAAATGATGAGGCCTACTTCCACAGATGCAGTGTGATAAGGAGCAGGTGTCTTCCCTTAGTTAAGCTTGTTGGTGAGAAATGCAGTTTGCTTCAAAAGCCAGTGTATTGCTTGGAAACAAACAAGTATATGCCTGAGGTCAGTGGGAGTCTGTTGGAAGATCAAGCCTAAGGAGTGGATGTGTTTGTTTTCAGAGGCTTTAGCAGAACTACATAGACTACAAACCAAGAATCAACAGCAAGAAAAATGGTACTACTGAGAGAGTTGTATTTTCTAAAAAAAATTAAAATTGTGTTCACTTTTCACTGCTCATGTACTTTATTGATGTCTTGCATTTCATTCCTGATTGGACAATGCTGGTCAGTTTTACTGTTACACTTCATTTAGGTCAGTGCTCTTTTTGTGTGTGTGGTGGGGGGGTTGTCAACACCCCAATGAGCTCTTTAAAGAAACATGTTTTCATTGATAACAAATCTCAACTATTTGTTTTTCTGTTACATATTGTTAATGTAATATTACTTGGTTTCAATCAAAAGAAAATGTTGGGCCTGAAGTAAACCAGCAAATAGATTATCTCTTCTGGAAAGCAGGGTGATAATGCAGGCTACAAGCAGACACTATGGTGAAGATATCCAGGCAGCAGATTTTTGAAGCAGTTTTCTATGTACTTTAACCCTGCCCTCCTTTTCATTTTTGTGTGTGTTAAATCTTCTGCTTTTCCTAACACAACTCTTCCAATAGACTCAAATCTTGTTGAGAGGACTGCTAAGTTTCTTTTCACTCAGTCCTAGGATACTTTATTATGATATGCACATTTGCTTAAAAAATCATGTAATTGTTCTGTAGGAGCTACCTGTTTTTGCAGAAGCCATTACCAGGCAGCTCTGTTAAATAACAACACTTAGGTCTCAAAGCTTTATAACAAAGCAGCCCTAAAAGATTTAAAACTTTAATGAGGAGTCCTGTGGCACCTTAAATGCTAACAGATTTATTTGGGCATCTTGTTTATTTGCAGCTGACAAAGTGGTTTTTACCCATGAAAGCTTATGCCCAAATAAATCTGTTGGTAAGGTGCCACAGGACACCACCTTGTTTTTGCAGACACAGCCTAACATGGCTACCCCTTTAAAACTCATATGAAACACTCCACCAGCCCCAGAGTTCTAGATTTCTCTGTTTGATTTTAAATTTATTTTTGTATTTTTAATAGAGCATTTTAAACTCCATGAGTAAAACAGTTCCTGAGAGGAGACAGAATCCATTTCCATCTGGAACGATGGAAAATTTCCCAATGTAGACAAGGACTTATTTGGATTAGAGATGTTAAATGAAGATTAATTGGCTAATCAAATAGTCAATGCAAATTGCATCGATTATTCGATTAGTTGCTTAGGGCACCTCTGCCTTTGCTACACTTCAAAGGTGAAAGTGCTGTGGGGAGCTCAGGGCCAGCAGGGGACTCAAGTAGTCCCATGTTGGGCCTGTGCTCCCTGCGACGTTTCAAAACGTCAGCGCCACAGGGAGCCCAGGCTCAGTGGGGGAGTTTCCTGCTGGCCCCAGTCTACACATGGCATTCCAAAGTGGCAGTGCTGCATGGAGCGCAGGGTCTGGTCTTAAACCCTACTCAGGTCTTAAACCTCAGCCTATTACCTCTCTTGAGATGGAATGGAGATGGAAGAATTTTCCCTTAGACTGGTCCCTGGATAGCCACTCTCTGTAACCTTGGATCTGACTTGCATTCAGTACTTGCAGTTTTTCTCCTTCTGGGGATCAGTGTCAGTGGTATCCAGTGATCAAGTAGCATTTTAAAATTATTATTATGAACAAAAGCATTTCAGAGAAAATAGATCTTTAAAATAATAAACAGATTGCATAGATGTCTAGGTGTCTTTCACATGGGAATCTTGTAGAGAAGTAAAATCCTGTTTAATTGGTTAATCAGTTAAATGTAATGTTTAACTGGTTAATGAATTAAAAGGAGGGGTGTGACAGGGCAGCCCAGTTTGCAATGCGCCCTGGTTCACCCTGGGCAGGGGCAGCTCTGGATGTCCAGAGCAGCCCCTGTCTGTGGCAGGCCCCATGGAGATGGAGAAACCCCCTGCCTACAGCGGGCAGGGAGCAGCTCCAAACTGTTAAACATCATATCCCTAGAAACTTGGTATATTTAACTTCCTAAAGACTTCTCAAGAAAAATATTTTGTCAGCTTTTGGACAACCCTCTGGCAATGAACAACCCCTGTCCACCTCAGAGGGCTTTTAATTGTTTGGTATCCTTGTGATTTCCATGCTCCCAGCCGGGTTAAAACAAGGCTTGCAGCGTTCCCTGGTGTCTTCCAAATGTGTGCCAGGATGCTCTTATTTAGGATCCACTATGTTGGCTTCCTGTGTAGCTCTCTCAATAACTAAATTATCAGTATTCTTCAATTACACAGTAACTCTATAATCATCACAACCAGCACCCAAGTTTTGGAGATCCCCTTGGTACTAGGAGAAAATGAATGATTCTAGAAAATAGATTGTTTCAATTAGGGATTTAATGGAACAGTTTGTGGAAATCATTTTTTAGTATAAATGAATCTCTATCCTAATTCTTCAATACACAGTAGATCAGGGATCTGCCACTTTTTCCTGACATAGTTTGACTTGGGAAATGTTCAGGTTTTAAATGCATTACAGAAACTGTGGGCTTAAAGTTGTTTATTTTTTATAATGTAATCTTAGAGTTCAGTAGCTTAGTGTGCACTTAATATTGGATGTTGACACTGCTACAATGTACTGAAAGTCCTGGAATACCACAAAAATGTAAATAGGATCATTTTGTGTGTGTGTGTGTGTGTGTGTGTGTGTGTGTGTGTGTGTTTGTAATAGTCTTGCAATTTCAGTCTGGGATCCAAGAACCTTGATTTTTTTATATATATATATATATATATATAATATATATATATATATTATACACATACATACTCACACATATATATAATCCGTAGTAAAGGTCCTGCTAATCGGATTTTGCCCTTAGAGATACCAATGCAGCCTCAGTAGGACTTGTTGAAATTTCATAAACAATTTTGTTGATGTACAGGAATGAACAGAATCCAGTTCACTCTTTGAACTAAGGATGTTAAGGACTTGATGACTATCCGATAAGCAAATGCTTATCGAATAGTCAGTCCACTAGTCAATTTCTCTTCCCCCTCCTCCTGCCCTTGCTGCAGACAGAGGCAGCAAAGGGAGTGAAGAAGGGGTACTTCAAAGTGGCAGCACCACACAGCTGACTCGGGATCAGCTGTGCAGCGCTTCTGCTTTGAAACCCCACGCTGCCCCAGCTTGAAACTGTCCCAGCTGATCCTGGGTTCTGTTGAAATGCCATGTGGAGCCTGGCATCAGCTAAAGAGTCCCCAGATGACCACAGACTCCATAGCGCTGCCCCTTAAAATGCAAGACGGCATTTTAAAGGGGCAGCACCTCACAGCTGAGCTGGGGATCAGTTGTGTGGCGGCTACCCCTTTAAAACGTCACCTCGGCATTTCAAAGGGGCAGCGTTGTGGAGCCCAAGGTCATGTGGAGACTTCCCCAATATCCCCGGGTTCTGGGGAAATGCTGCACGGAACCCAGGGTCAGCTGGGGAGTCCCCCACTGACCCCAGGCTCCATGAGGGTGCTGTGGCTTTGAAAAGCACAAGAACCCCCTCTGGGGACTTTTGTACATATCAAAGCAGGCACGCCTTTGTGTAGCCCAGAGTCAGCAGGACTTCCCATTGGCTTGCGTTCCTCCTTTTAAGTGTACAAGAGCCACAGAGGGATGTGCCTATTGACTAGTCGAGTAGTCAATGGAAATTCCACCAACTACTCAATTAACTGCTATTTAACATCCTTTAAGCTGTGGCTCTGCAGAGATAAGAGAATGACATAGAATTTTCTTTTGTTTATCACTAAAGTAAGCAAACAAAGGCTTTGAATATATTCAGGGAAGGAGGTGCATTTAAATAAAGTTACTTTTCAGAATAGAACTTTAAGGGATATCTGAGCCTCCAGTATTTCTCACTCATCTGGATAGTGAGCATGATTACTGGACTTCTAGCCAAAGAAGCAATAAAATGGGAGTTCTCAAACCAAGAGAGGCAAGCAGCAGAGTTGGGGAGTAGGGTAAATAGGGTTGCCCTGTGAAAGAAGTAGGGAGTATGATGTCACCCTCTGATGTCACCCTCTCTGAAAGAAAATGGTTTTTCACCATCTCTGTTTGGCCCTTCAGGTGTCCCCACAGTTTGAAAGCACTGTGTCAACAGGCTTCAAGAGATGTCAGAAGAACCGGGATGACAGTCGTGGTTTCCTCCATGTGGGAGGAGTATGTCGGAAACACACCGTCTGTAAATTTCCACCTTTAACGTTTGAGGCTCCACATGCACACCTCAACGCTGGAGCAACAGAGTGTTCACACTCTAGTGGTAATCCAGAGAACTGTGGAAAGACATACCATATCCAGAAACAGAAGGGCACTGCAGCAAAGCTCACTACCTTAATTGACAAGCCTATGAGCTATAGAAAAAGGGCCTCTCAGTTTCCTTACCAGCATGCCGAGCCAGATGTCTTCAGTCCACCAGATGTACAGACTCCAGACCTGTCTTCTGTGAGAAGCTATGGCTGCAGTGGTGCTTTGCCAGAGAGGAACAACCTCTCTCCAAATCCACACAGTGGCCTTGATCTCTCTACTGATACCACTGAGAACCTTGAACCAACAGCTGTACTAGTCAAGGATACCCCAGAGCATGAGTATGGAGTGAAGGTAACGTGGAGAAAAAGGTCTCGCTTGATGAGATACCTAAGGGAGAGGGGAATGTTGAGCCCAAGTGACATCCTAGTGAAAAATGTCAGTGCTGATTCTAGCCAGTGCTGATTCCTTTGACCAAGAACAGACAGCCTTTGATGTGAGGGGCACAATAACTGAAGTCTCTCTTTGCTGGCTTCAAAATCACAGGCATTGCTGCTAAGCCTAGATGGAAGATCAGGGAAGGGATAAAGGGAGAAACCAGGACTTCTACTGGAGGCTGAGACTGCATCATGCTGCAGAGCGATGCTTCCCCAGTCCCCGAGTGCTCTTTAGTCTAGCTAAATCGTCTTCACTACACAGCGATGGGCGGGGGTGCTGCTGAGAGGCTCCCATTCTCCAAGAGGCTCTGCGCCCACCCACGTGTCCTTTCCAGCTGGCCAGCAGTATAGTCCTTGCACCTCGTCCTGGATTTACAGACCCTGCCCACCCCCGCCTGGGCATGAGCAAGGATGCATCTTAGCACCCTGCTTCAGCCACAGTGAGTGAGCGGCCCACGCTGGCGTCTCTGTGTCCAGCCCAGCCTCCTCCCCGCGCAGCCATTCTACAGCCCCGCCTCCTCGGAGCCTCCCTCTGCTGCCCACCTGGAGCCGGGTGGCTCAGCCTCCGGGTGACAGGCACGAGGCAAGAGCGGGGGCGGGCCCGCTAGCGCCTGGCAATAAGCATGCGCGGGTTCTGCCCTGCTCTCTTCCAAGCACTGTAGCCAATGAAGGCTCCTAGTGTTGTGCCTTCGACAATGGCACGATGCCTCTGTGCTGGGTGCAGTTCCTAAGGGTAGCGGCGGCCAGCGGGGCTAAGTGCGAGTGGCCAGGATCCCATAGCAATGGTGGGGTGAAGATGGAAAGCGTAGGGGACCGGGCCGGGCTTCGCGGTGGCAAGAGCACAGGCGGGGTGGGTTGGGGGGCACCGGGGTTTCGTCCTGAAGCCTCCTCTGCTGGGGCTGGTGCAGTTTCGCAGGTCTGGTACCTGGGCTCTTGCTCCCCGCTGGTACCAAGTGAGGCGCCCCGGGCTCAGTCACCGTGGATGCCGCTCGCACCTGGACACGCCCACGCCACATACACACGCTACAAGCGCAGCCCCCTTGAATGTTTCCCTCCCCTCCTTCTCTCCCCACCCCGGCTTCTGTGGAAAACCTACCCAGTCAGGCTGGACAATGGCCTCCCCTGGTGGATAGGGCCCCTGGCTGTATCAGAGCACCAAATAAAATTACTGCACACGGGAATGGCTTGGTTTGGTTTAGTTCATCACAGTATTTTAATCTTGTGTTAATTGTAGCCGTAGGAGATAAAAGCAATAGACTGATGTCTTTGAAATGAATGAGGTTCCTTTGATGTACAGTTTATCGATATGGGAGCGTGTGCAGCTTGCCACCCTCAGAGAGAACACTTACAAGAAAGGGGTTAATATAACAGATTTAGTGGTGGGAAATCTTCTTTGAAAACTTGTCTGCACTTCAGGGTCCCAGTGCCTCATTATCCTCTCTTCCTGACTTTTGTCAGTGCATCTTTATCAGGTAGCCAGTCTAGGCTGGAGTTCCCACAGCTGCTGCAGAGGTGGGGGATTTTAAGAAAAGGCTCGTGTCTGCATGCAAAGGTTGTGTTATTTTAATTTGGTCAATATAATTAAATTAGCTTCAAGGGAGTAGCTGAGTTAGTCTGTTACAGGAGAAAAACAACAAATGGTCTGGTAGGACTTCAGAGACTAACAAAACATGTAGATGGTATCATGAGCTTTTATGGGCAAAGCCTACTTCAGATGATCAGAGTTATTAGTTTAGGATATGTACACTCAAAATAAATGGGGGAGGGGAAGGAGAGGAAAGAAAAAGGAAGAGGGTGGGAGATAGAGAGCATCAGTAAGTATCTGAGGATTGTGTAGTTAAACTGAAGCAGATAAGAGTCAAAGTCAATAGACTCCCATGTCAGGAAGGATACTACACAGAGAGCTGTTTGTACCTTTAATGGCTGTTGAATTGGTGATGTCCCAACCATCTTTCATCACAATTGAGTCCATTAGCATGTGAATTGAATTTGCGGATGAACTGTAATTCCAATGCTTCCCTGTGGATCTGGTTTGTGACAAGACAGCTACTTGGAGTTCTTTCAAAATGTGATGTGGAAGATGGAAAAGTTCACCAATAGATTTCTGTATGTTTCCTTTATGTATATCTGATTTGTGTCCATTGATTCTTTCCCGCAGAGACTGTCCAGTTTGTCCAATATATATATATATATATATATATATATATATATATATATATATATATATATATATATATATATATATATATATATATATATATATATATATATATATATATATATATATATATATATATATATATATATATATATATATATATATATATATATATATATATATATATATATATATATATATATATATATATATATATATATATATATATATATATATATATATATATATATATATATATATATATATATATATATATATATATATATATATATATATATATATATATATATATATATATATATATATATATATATATATATATATATATATATATATATATATATATATATCAGTAGGGCACTGCTGGCATTTGATGGCATAAATCAAATTACTGGATGTGCAGTCAAATGACCTTTTGATATGGTGGCTTTCTGGTAACCCTGCCACACAATCACATCATAAGCCTCCAGGAACCCAGCCCTGCAACCAAAAAGGATGCCAACTCCGCCCACATATCTATACAGGAGAATTAATCACTGGAGCCAACAGCCTAAGCCACTAAATCAAAATTAACACCAGCTCACTAATATCAAATGACCTTTCCTCAGTAGGCCAATCATAGCAGCCTTTCTGAGTTTTCTGACTTTTCTTAAGGTTCTGTTGCACCAAATCCATCATCATCTGGAAATTCTCCTTAAAATGAGATACATATTCCCCCATCAAAGTCCTGTTTCCTACCGAGTGCCCACCCAAGAGTCTCGAATTAAATTTAGGTTCCCCTCACCTGCCTCCCATATAGGAGATCAAAGGGAGTAAAACAAAGTAGACTCTGGAGTATGCTTCTGTACAAATCTAGAAGAAACGAGCAAAATGTCCTAGTTGTTGTCATACCTGGAGACACGTAATCTTGACATAGATTTTCAGGGGCAGTAAAATCAATTTCTGTACTCCTACCTGATGAGTAACACCAAATTTGACCTTTTGTGGTCGACTTTGGAATAGTATAAATGCAGCTCTGTGAAAGTCAACGTTCTTGGACTCTGGAAGGTGTCCCACAGTGCCCCAATGTGACCTCTCTGGCCAGCACTTTCAACTCTCCTACTCTCCCAGGTGCTCAGGAAAAGCCATGGGAACATTTGAATGTTAATTCCTGTTTGGCTAGCATGGTGAGCACAGCATCACTCCTCAGCTACACACCTGACCATGAATGCCTAATGTTGCAAATGAGCTCCAGCATGGAGCATGAAGGAGATCCTGGATCTGATTGCTGTGTAGGGAGAGGAATCTGTGCAGGCAGAACTCTGAAGCAGCAGAAGGAACGCTGATATCGATGCCAAAACTGCACAGGGCATGGTGGAAAAAGGATACAGTAGGGACAACCAGCAGTGCCACATGAAAATAAAGTTGCTTAGGCAGGCATCCCAGAAAACAAAGGAGGCAAACATTTGGTCTGGGTCAGAGCAGCAAACATGCAGCTTCTATGAGCAGCTGTATGGGATTTTAGGTGGAGACCTAACCAGTGTTTCAAAACTCTCCATGGATACCTCCCAAGAGACTCTTAGGCACCCTCTGGCAACAAGGAGGACACTGTGGAGGAGAAATGCTCAGCAGGCAAGTGGAAGGTTTGATACTAACAGCCAGGATTGTTTTTTAATTTGGAGTCAATCCCCTCATCCCAGGATTTATTACCGCCGAACTCTGATGGCGGGGAGGGCACTTTTGGTGAATTTACAATTATAATCATACCTCAAATGGGTTAAAATAATTGGGCTTTATCTGTGGTGGCCACTTCGCTTACTTATCAGGGGCTCCTCAGAACAATTTGTTAACATAGCTGGAGACAGAGCGGGAATCCTCCGTGCACATCTCTACAAAACTGTTATAGACAGAGCTTGCCAATCTGGCTCTTCTAGGTTCCCTGCGTTTCCTAAATAAAAATACATGATTTAAGAACAGGATCATGATGCAGAGAACACCTTGTTAAGAAAAACATACATGACTGTCACATCACTGTCCTGTCATTTGAGAAACTGGTTTTTGAAACCTCTCTAATTCGCAGTGCCCCTCAATTTGCTCTCCTTATTGCCTTGGTGTCTGGCTGCTAATTAGTGGCTGGGCAATCTGCCTGGAGTCCCTTGCCCCGCCAGAAACTTTCCCCCCCTTACTTTCACAGATGTTACAGAGCACACAGCCACCAGCCACTTGGGATGTTAGGAAGCATGTAATTTGGTTATCGTGTAGCCAATGACAATTTTGTTGGGTACATGATTAAAGTGGGTCTTTTAAAAGAACTTGAGAGCCTGCATGCAAGCACGCTGGCTCTCTCCCTACTCATACTGGATCCAGCACCTACCCCCACTGTGGTGCTTGTGCTCTGGCTCTCAAGCTATTTAAATACAAAACGGGGGAGGAGGGTATTGTGTGTAGGCAATAGCATTAACTAATAAACATTAGTTTATTGGTTAATTGTTTAACTGGCTACGCTATTACAACCCTAGCAGCCACAACGATGGGAATGTTGCTTTCATTGAAGTCTAGTCAATAAACTGTGAAAGTGTGCCTTTAAATGGCCAAAAGCACATTCTACCACCATTCTGCACTTTCTCAGCCTATAATTGAACTGCCCCTTACTGTTGTCCAGGCTCCCTGTTATGAGCAAGGAGCAAGGGGTAGGCTGTATCTCCAAGGATAACTATTAGCATTTCAACATTTCCAATGCTAATCTTGTGGTCTGGGAAGAAAGTTCCAGCTTGCAGCTCTGAAGAGACCAGAGTTCCTAAAGATATGTTCATCCCGTACCCTTTCTGTGCATCCTGTGCCCTTTCCATCCATCCCATGTTGATGTTGGTGTGAAAGCCTTTGTGATCACCAAGAAGTACCTGTTGTAGTTCATGTACTCTTTGTTGAGGTGATCAAGTGTCAAGGTAGGGATGGGTGTTCCATCTACTGCTCCACCACAGAGAACCCCATCGTGGCAAAGCTGTCCACCGTGTCCTGCATGTTTCCCAGGGGCAGTAGCTTTACTAGCAGAAGAGTATTGATTGCCCTGGCTACTTGGATCACAGCAGTCATCATTGTAGATCTCCCCACTCCAAACTGATTCCCATCTGACCAATAGCAGTCTGGTACTGCAAGGTTCCATGCGGCTATTGCCACCTCCTTCTCAACTGTCAGTGCGGGTCTCCTGGTATTGCTGCTCTTCAGGACAGGGGAAAGCAATGTTCAAAGTTCAATGAAAGTGGCCTATGCATGCAAATGTTATCGTCCCATAGCTGCATAACTATGTGGTCCCACCAGTTTGTGCTTGTCTCAGGGATTAGAATCAATGTTGCACTGTGTCAACAGGATAGACTGTTGCCAGCATATGCCAAGTGCTCCACTCAGTGGTTTCATGCCTATCTGTGTTCTTGGCCTTATCAAATTCTTCTTTACTCCAGCAGCTTCTGGCTAGGCTCTGGACAAGCCACAGCATAATACACTCGGGCTGTGTCTACACTGATGCAATCTTGCGCCAAAGCGGCCGCTCTTGCACAAAAACTTGCTGCCTGTCTACACTGGCCGCGAGTTCTTGCGCAAGTACACTGACGTTCTAATGTGTGAAATCAGTGCTTCTTACACTAGAATTACGATGCTCCCGCTCAGGAATAAGCCCTCATGCGCAACTGTTCTAGTGCAAAAGGCCATTGTAGACAGGCAACATGAATTTCTTGTGCAAGAAAACCCTATGGTTAAATGACCATCAGAGCTTTCTTGTGCAAGAGAGTGTCTACACTGGCATGGATGCTCTTGCGCAAAAGCACATCTCTTGTGCAAACATACATGCCAG